GGCTGAACGGAACGGACCATCGCCCACACAATTGCAGAGAATCTGTTGGCTTTCTCCGCGTGTGCGACCTGCGCAAACAGGCCGTGGTGCACAGCCCGATGAGAATGGCTTCGCGGCATGAGTTTGATGTCTCTGGCGCTCGGATTTCGGCAGAGCATGCCCATTGCAATCTCACCGTTCGAGTGCATGGATTTTCAAGCGATTCTGTGAGGTTCGAAGTGGCTTCCTGCGAGGCTCTCACCCAAGGCCCAGATTTCTGCGTGAGCCTGGATGTCCAAGGCCCTGAGGCCCGTTGAAGCCGGGTTGTCCGTGCCGGAATCGCTGGCAACGTGTTTGCGAGGGAGCTGTACGACCTCAGATGTGTCTCCTTCCACGCAAATTCAATTGAGCCAGAAGGCGGGACAGGCTGATACGGGAACTCACTAGATGGTATAGATGACATTTCATTATCCAGAAATGGGCTGAAGTGCCCCTGAGGTGGTTGAACGAACAATGCGCAAGGAACAATGAAGAGAACACAAACAATCTGTTGCATTGTTTTACTTTGTACTAATGTAGCAATCGCCCAGGGATGCCATCTCCCCGTTTCATCCACCGTACGCGTCCACCGGGGCTTCGGCCCCATACCACAGGCGAAGGCTTGGCGCTTTGTGGAATTTTCGCCCAGGTGGCTGCCATCCCAAACGGGTAACTTTTGCACCTTGCTGAGGCGAGGTGGACGCTGTGTTGCAGGTGCTGAAGTGGGCGAGGACTGATCATTGTATGCGAATCCATCATGTAAATTGGGTGTTCCAATGAGCTGTAAATGTAGCTATAAAAAGAGTCACAAAATAACCCGATTCGCATTTTTGCAATTTTGTACGTAAAAGCTTAAGACGGAAAGACCAAGCCTGGTACAGAGATGCAGAGCAGAGATCCCAGTATGTGCTTTCCATGGAGCGAGTGAGCGGTACACAGTTCTCACCTCCAAGAGAGTGCAGCTGCTGTACTCCGGTGGCGTTGTTGATGGCCGTGCAGTTGGACGTCAGAATGTACGGGACAGAACAAACAACCCCTTGAGAGTGTGCAGACGCCGCATTGGCCTGTATTGGTCCACCTCTTTCCGGTGGTAGGACGAAAATTGGCGCGTCACGAAGAACAAGAATTTATATTCCACATTTTACACTGAAATGATGTGATATTGATGATTTAGCAGACCCAACGGGGGTCAAAATGCTCCAGCACCAGCGCTCCGCCATACACTGGGATCGTTCACCTCGTCGCCTAGCGCTGTGCAGTCCGCAGGAGCTACCACCTGAGTTTCTGGCAGGCATTCTCCTGCATGGAATTTTGCTGACATCATATGCACGTCCCCAGCTGTAAATGCTGCTCCATCGCCAAAGTCTTCATCGAGACCCAGGCAGTGCTTCCCTGTTGGGCTTTCAAGTGGCTGTGGCGGCAGCCTCTGGGCGTCCACTAGTTTGGCAGCCGCAAAATGTGAACTTGGATTGTTACTCTGTTCCTGGCACAGTACTCAACCGAGATTAGGTCCCAAACGCTGGGCTCAGAGAAGGGATTAGGTTTGCGGCCTGTGCTGTTCATTCTTCGTACTTTATGCACATAATGCGATATGCTCGATTGCATTCAAGCGTTGGTGCCGCACCTCCTCCCAACAGACTAAAATTGCCCCTCGCTGTGCTGCAATTCTAGACGATGGGGTGGACCACTTGACTGACCGCATTTTGGTGACGGTGGCCACATGTGTCGAAGCAGGCTTGTTATTTGCTCCGTAAACAAAGATCGTATTTGGTTGTTACACGTAAGAATAGTTTTTATATTTCCGCTTAAAAATGTGGGAAAATACGTGAATACAACGTAAAAGAGCCCCGTGTACACAACGACAGTACAGACAGCCTTCGGGACTCCTGGGAATGGCATCCAGACGCATGGGAATGGGAAAGGACGAATTTTGTTACACTCCATCTTGGCCATTGCCGAGTGGGAAATGGGCGCCGTGTTTCGGGGGCTCAAGGGGGCGGAGTACTGATCACTGTACGCAACTTCCATCGTTTTACATGGGCGTCACAGCGAGCCGCAAAAACGTAAAAATAGCTTCTTTCTGGAAATTTGTGTTTTTAAGCGTAAAAACGTAAACGTAACAATGTAAACGTAAACGCAAACGTAAATAACAAACCTGTGTCGAAGCCCAGTGGGCCGTCCGACATCAGACATCAGTGCATCTTTTCCTTGTTGCACTGATCAGCATGTTCTGTACTTTGTCCTCTGTGGCACCAGTCCACTCACCATTGCTTTGTTTGCGATGCGAATATTCGCCAGATGTCAATGCACTGATCATGGGTACTGCCTTTATGGGACAAAATAGGCAGCTGCTGCCTATATAACAACAAGGCAATGAACTGGCCGTCAGCTGCTGATGGCCACCTCATTGCCTTGTTCTTGTATACGGAAAGTGTTCGCACAGATAATGTTCATGTACTTCGCAGAAGAAAATGTTCGAGCGAAAATATTTTTGTGAACTTGATGGTGCGCAAAAAAGAAATCCTTCACGAAGTTGACGAAATACTCAACACTTCTTCCCTGCGAAAATTTCCGCCGTGCGAAAATTTTCGCCTTGCGAAAATTTACACAGGCTTTGTCTGCGCAAGCCGCTACTTGATGGCCCTGGAATGCAACAATGAAGAGTCTAGGGGCGGGAGGCGCCGTTCATCAAGGACAGATTGAGGGGAAGAGCACCGGCACGAGGTGCTGCAGAGTAGTTGGCGTGGAGCCAAGGGCACCTTTGTAGCATTTGATACTCAGTAAAAAGCACTGCACTACGCAGCCGCCGCTGTCCAAGCCAGCAAGAGACAGGGCGCCCGGCGACCAAGGTGTCTTGGGAGAGCGGTCAAAATCAGCGCGGGCGAAAAAACTCCAATCAGCCAAAAATTCGCAGAGAAATATTCTCGTGCAGTGCCTCAAGCGCAAAACGTGTGATAATTTTTCTGCCGCAAACTTTTTCAGTACACAATATGTGAAAATCAATGATGACAAATATTTGCCAGGCAAGGCCTCCCGTCCCTCCGCAGTGTACCTGCGTACGCACCGGCGTGCACCCCGGCGGGCGCACACGGAGCGAAGAGCAGTTTCTGTCGCCATCCACGACCGCAGGATGTCCCTCCACTGCTGCACCCCCACATATCTGGACACCCCCACGGCCAGCTGCCACGTGGGCACGCCCCCTCGGATCTCCCTCCCAAGGGCCCCCCCTCCTCACACCGCCCAGCGACAAATCCTCCTTGACGCGGCCGGTATCTGGAAGTTTCGGCGCCGGCCAGCTATGCCCGAAGAGGCGCCCAGTGCCGGCGGGCGCGACGGTTCGCAGCTGACGCATCTTCAATCAACGTCGTCGCGCATACGGTGCCCGCCCAGGGTGCCCTGGAATGGGCCCGCCCCTGTGGCCCGACTGCTGGCCACTCTGCCAGAAACCAGCCCAGCGCATAAAGGGTGGCGCCCCGTGCTGCTGGCGGAGGGCATCGCGAGCCAAGGGGGGCACCAGGCCGGTCGCGTTGTCGGTTTTTATCACCTGCGCCGGAACGATTCGGCGGCCACGGTGGACGTGCTTGGGAGTTTGGGCGTGGGGAGGCGCGCTGGCGTGACGACCGGGCTGGGAGGGATCCCCAAGCGAGTGCCGGTCGTCAGAGCGGAGAACGCGGCGGCGGGGGGAGGCGGCAAGGTGGGGGGCGCGCGCCGGCACGCGGCGGCAGCGGCGGCGGCGGCAATGCGCTCCCGCGACGACGCGACGGGGTGATCCGGCCGCTTTGCCGCACGCTGGGAGGCGATGTTTGCCATCGGCGGTCGCGCTGGTGCGTCCCGAGTCGGGACTCCCGACATGGCCGCGAGAGCCCGTGCTGTCACAAGGGAGCCAGCAGGAATGAACGGGCTGCGCGCTGCCGCGCCGGCCCGGGCGTCGGATCGACGATCGGCGGGCGCCACTGGTGACGACCGCGTTTGGAGTTCCGTCCGCAGTGGCAGGCATGTGCTTCACAGTCGAGCCCGCGTTCGCGGAGGGGGCCCCGGGCGCCTCGGACGGGCCAGCGGGAGCGAGAGGTGGGGTGGGCCCTGCGACCCCGGCTTTGGGGAGTGTATTCAAACTCGTCGGGGAGTTGTGCGCTTGGGCGCTTCGTGGGGTGCGGGCCGGCAAACGGGGCCTAGGGAGCACGGGGTGTGAGTCGTCAACGGGGCGGGATGCTGCATGCGTATCGAGTGATTTCGGGCCAACTTCCCCACCAAGATCCAGCTGCTGATACTCGGTATCGATGCCGCCATTCGCGCCGGCATAAATGGGCCGCGAGTCGCGTGCTCAGGACGCCGCGTGCGATGCTTCGCGATTCTCGTGTTCATGTAGATTGGCCATCGTCAGCGCGTCCCGTCGTACACCGCACCAAGTATCGCTTTGCCCTCACTTGGCGGCAAGGCCCTTAGGTGCTCCACCGATTCACGTGAATCGCATATATTCTATTACCGTGCAAATTTTGAGCGAATGATGCTGAATGAACGGACTGGTGGAACAGCTTGTCGCTATGCAGTAATTTTGCTTCACAGTGCGGTGCCAAGTTGCTGATCAAGCCGTTGTACCCTGGCGATAGATCCTCTGGCCACCGCCATCCCGGACATCGTGCTCGTGGAGCCACCGGTGCTGCCAGTCGAATGTGAATGCGTCTTGGAGGTGCACCTCTCGCACTGTGTGGCAACGGAGCGGGCTCTCCGGCTGGTGTGCACTCAGGGCCACCGGACTGTTGCCGAAGAGCCCCTGACTGCGACAGCAGGCCAAACGGCCAGGTGAGGGAATCTGCACCTCTTCCGCAATGCCAAAGGCAATCGATTGAAACCAGAGCTACAAAATGGCTAAAGCGATCGACGCAGCACCCCAGAGAGCCAACACCCGTACTTGATCACGTACGCAATTGCACTCCCATACGCCTGGAGTTGGTGGGCCTGTGACCGTCATGTGCCACTTTAAGGTGCTGCGTCCGTGCGCCTACACCCGGCACCATCTACGTTTCAGTGGTTGGACCGGAGGAAGGAGAGGTCGTGCCCGTCACTCCCCTGCTGGCCTTGCCGCCAGGTGCTTTCCACTCGGCCTCTGAGCTCTTCCAGACCACCGTGGACGTCATCGAGGCCAACACTCCCTGGCGGCAAAGGAGGGGCACAGTGACAGACTGCTGTCGGGTCAGTTGCAATATTAGCCAGCGTGTCATGCCATGCACAGGTTACTGATTCATGGGCCCAGGGATATGGCGCGCGAACTCCGTTTTGATACCTTCATGCCGGGATGAGAACAATGGCGAAGGTGCACAGACTTGTGAATTTGTTGGGCCGAGGACACCAGACAGAAAACGCCATTTTGTGGTTCCAATTGCGGTGCCATTTTCGACAGTAACTGGGGCCATCACGGTGATTGCTATGGGGCAAAAGTAGCTGTGATGGCATCAATTAGTGTCAAATGGCATCGCAGTTGTCATCGCAAAATTTTCCTACGTGTTTTCTACTGGTGGGAGTCACACTCTCACTAGGCAAGAAAGCAGCTTCGAGAGCAATGAGAATTATTCCGGAGCGTTAAGTACTGGAATATGGTAGTAGGAGAGCTGCTATCGATTTTCGTGAATGTCAAAGAAAACCTGCGTCAGTCGAAGTTATTGAACACGTGCAACGGTTGATTTAGCTAGCTGATAATCTGAAAGCCCAGCTCCCGGTTTGGGCAAGCTGCTGGTCAATTGGGTGACCAGCAATAGGAGAATACAGCGACGCCTGCGCACTCTTGGCCCTGCAGCACAGAACAGTTCAGCATTTTCGTGATCCACGACCTCACCGCACGTCATGACGACCCTCCTGTGGCTGCCCCCCCAGTTGACTTGTCCGACCGCGATGGAGCTGGCCATGTACCAGATCCGGCTCTCTGCTTGGAGGAATTTCCGGGCTCTGTCGCTGGACCTCGCCAGCATTCTAGATTTTCTGGGCGCCTTCCGTGCCCCGGGCGCCGTGCCCGATGAACACCAGAGTCGCCTGCGGGTCGTGTTGACGTATCTGATCAAGAATCGCGCCTGGCCACTGGCCGCTTTTGTCCTGAAGGCCTGCCGGGGGGTGGGCATTCCGATCGTACTCGACGGCAGAGAACTCGCAGGGGACCAGCTGGATCCCGAAGTGCTCGAGGCTTATGCTGCGGACAGTCACATCTGAGTTTGGTGCTGGACGCTTGCATGTCGAGAAGCCGGACAGGCAAGAGGAGGCATGTTTGGATGCCTTGCAGCCTGCAAGTTGCGGGCCTCGGGAACTGTACTGAAATGTTGTGGCGCTGCAAGGGTGCTGGAACGAGCGCGATGCAAAATGAGAAGAATGAAAAGGATCGACAGATTGAGGGATTGCCATGATGGGCCGGCGCTCGCGTAGAGTGTTGCAATTGGCGCCTCCTCGGCGTCGGCGAAGCTCCGCTGGGCAGGTGCAAAGCGGGAAACAATTTCAAATTTTGAGATGGGAATAGTTTGAGAGGAGAGCCACAGCAGGGAATAAGAATGGCATATGGCTGCATGAGGGGACTGTTCGAAGGCGGCCGTTCTCGTGGCCGTTGCTGCTCGTGATGTGTTCAAACCTGGGCTCGTTGAAACCTCATATTTCAGAGCCTGTATTCGCACCACTGTATCATCAATATTGCAATTGAGATTTGCGGCATTTGAACCGCTGCATGCTATAGTGCATGGCTTCGGAGGTGTAGCCTTCTTGGTGGCCTCTCGCGTGTCCAACAGGTTGCCCAACTTTCTCCGAATTTCAGATCAAATGACCTGGAAAGGACGCTGCAAAGGGTATCCATTCTGGGAAAGACTTTCTGGTAAGCGTCTCGACAAGTGCATCTTACGTTGTGAAATTGCGGCATCCTCGTGCGAAACTCGACCAAGAATAGGTGCATAGGACATCGCAAGGAGGGGCAAGCTGCCCTTCGGCGATGCATCGATCAAAAAGAAATTTGGCCATAAGATTGAGATGCAATCCATTTCAAATCAGAGAAGTGAGATCTCCAGGGCAAACGGATTTGGCTCCATGTCTCGGATTGGTTATTGGCATGCTTGATGTCTATGGATACTTTGGGAGTTGTAGCGGATGCGATCCAATGCACAGAAATGCACCGATAACAAGGGTCATGCAATTGCAAAATGGCTCTCTTACATGCAAGGCTTTTGCGGAAATATGTGAAAATGTAAGGAACGCTTGTGGATGGATCATTTGGCGCTCTGAAATGGTGGATGCAAACACTTCGTTTTCGAACCAAGAACAAATGTATTCTGCATTTGCCCGATAGGGTTAACTCTACTCCTTGCCTAGTTGAGACTGCTCATGCCAGATATTTTGGCGTGTTGTGCAAAAAAACGAACGTGAGGGATGGAAGGGGAGGGAGCGGACGGGTGGTTTCCAGTGGTTTGAGGAATTAATCCTTATTGCGCACAGCTGATGCAGCACATCGCTAAATTGATGGCGATGCACTTGCTCAATGCTCACTGGTTCCCGCATTTCTCAACAGAGATATTACCGCCACTCCAATTCCAAGGAAATGTTGTGCATCTTGCTGCGTACTTATGCTAAGTTACTGCTCAGGCCCAGGCAAGGCGTTATAACCCCCACTTACCTGACCCAACAGGATTGTAAGCTCACCTCCGACCTCGCCATTCCTATAAGTTTCGAGAGATACAGCAACAACGCACTAAGTTCACTGATATTCATATGTACAGTCGCTCAACGACTGGCACATGGATGACATATCATAATGCGGCAACAATGCAATTGGCTTCTGTGAGAAAATTTTGACATTGGCACCGGCTATGGTTGTCAAAAAGGGAAAAAATGTGCGCTGGGCATTGCACGAGCGATTGAGATTCCATTGTGATCACGACCTGGATTCCCTAAACACTTTGGCTGGTTATGGGCTCCAAGCGGAGATGGCACTGAAAGCGGCCGAATTGTGGCCAGCAGTTTTGAGAAAATTCGAGACAAATCGCAAAAATATTGGACGTATCAGTCAAAATTAATGTATATGTATGGCGGGTTTCCCAAGGCCTTTATACATGAAATAAATGCAAGGGAGCGAGAATATGCGTAACATATGTGGGCCATATCTATGCGCATGGGCATAAAACATCCGCCTTGGAAAATGCCTAGTTCTGTGCAAGTCTACCAATGGATGTTCATAGGGCGGCAGGAGTGATTCCATGTGATGCCAACCAGCCCTGCTAATGAATTTTCAATAGTGCATAGAAGGGAATTATTATGGGCAGTCAATTGCTGGTTCCAAATGCTTGGGCATCAGTGTCATGCAAATATATATGGCGTATGTGTCGAATACTTGTCCGGGACGTATTGAACACATTATATCCTGACATGGATGACATAGCACTGGGCCATGGGAAATGCCATGAATCCATGCATAGCAAAGGTGAGCTATCTCTACATATAGTTTGGGGAACTTGTAATGTGCGAGCCATACACTATGGAGTGGGTCCTATAATGTACACACGTGCATATGGATATATTGTCCTCTCTAATTAACTGCAGCAGTGCATATGGGACGGAAAATCATTCATATGAGGGCCTCGTTCCCAGGTAGTGCAGTTCACCATCCACAATCGCGTGTCTGCTCAGGCTGGGCAAGAATCCAAGGAGCATGGGTGGGCGGCATTGGACTTGATGGAAGCAATCGATTGGATGTTGAGAAGGCATCGTCGACTCTAGCCCGCACGATTAGCTCGACTCTGGTGATTTTGCATTAACTGAACTAAAAAGCAAGGCGCAACGAACTGTGAAATGTCTGGAGAGTAGAGAACAGAAAAGGCACTGCGAGGCAGAAAAGCGTATCTTCATTAGAGGTGGCCACTCGGATCCGTTAATAGCGGACAGAGGTTAATTTCCGTTAATTTTCCGTTAATTAACGGAAAATAACGAAAAAAGGCAAAAATTAACCAAAAATTAACGGATTTTTTGATTTTTTGGGGATTTTTGGGTTTTATTCATACTTATAGTTTATGGAATTCGCTATTAGAGAGTATGTTTGTATTTTATTTCAACCTATGCATACTAGATTTTCAACTAGCCGCAATTGTTGTGATTTTTTGGGTTTTTTTTTGATTTTTTTGGATTTTTTTCCTTTTTTTCTGAATTTTTCTCCCTTTTTCTTTAACGGAATTTAACGGACAGCTGATAAAAATTAATGAACCGGACTTAACGGACCAGATGGCATCTTTGAGTGGCCACCTCTAATCTTCATAGATGGCGGATTTGCATGGCTTGACATCGACTGTAGTGTGAAAACCAGGATGCTTAAGGCGACAGCTGGTGATGCGTCGGGTCATGGACGCTTTCAAATAGGCATTCCGAGCATGGGCTGAAGGCAAGTGGGGAGCAACTTGAGGGGAGCCGTTGCTGGTCTGGTGGAGCGTAATGCCTAGCATGGGGAGCACTACAACTCAACAGGCTTTGGCACCAACGGTACGTGGGGAATTTGCAACACGTTTATTAATAGATGGTTACTTGCTAATTTCCACAATTTTTTGTGTGTAAATTTTAAACCTGCGACATGGGAACTTTCTATAACGTGGACATTTATGTGCCATTCGATGTATTTCAATCGCCGTACTTCTGTTGCAGAAATAGAAGAAATACTTGCGAACAACTTCAGGGCAATTACGCAATAGCTTCAGAACAATATTGTGTCCATCTTACAGGACAAGTACAACAAATTTCCAAAAACAGGCACATCCCTCCACGAAAGTCAGACTTACACTTTCCCACTCCCCAAGTGGGGCCTTCAACGTGGTTTGGTGCGTCTGTCGACTGATGTCCGTACTGCAAACGCGCTGCGTTTGGAACAGAAAATCCGCAAACAAATCGTGTACTAATTTTTCCCAAAGACCGCAGACATGTGTCGTTTGAGAGCATCGTTGGAAGATGACCCACCCAAACAGATTTTCAGCTCACTTCGGCCCCTCCCAGGGACACGGCAGCACACCAACAAGAGCGGCCAAGCCTGCGTCCCGCAACCCACGCGAGGTCGCGGCCCCAATACCCCACCCACAGACCCCCCCCCTCGCTCAAAACGCAACTACACCGCCCCAAGGGCCCACCATCCTCCGCCCCGGCCCCCACACACAACCACAAGGCCCCCCCACGGCGCACACGCCCCCGACCCACTAACCCCAAAATCATCGTTCCCGGCCACCTTCAGAATCCGCCGCAATCGACCACGTCAGTCTGACGTCCCCGCCAGCGGCCATCACATCGCCGGGGCCACGGTCCCGGGCTGGCGGCCGGTGCCCCCTGACATCGGACTGGCGGCCGCCACACCCACGTGCCCGCCGCGGGCGGGCCGGCCTGGGCGCGATCCAGAAAGCTGATGCCAGCATTCGGCGACTTATCCGCGCGGCAGGTGACCAAGGGCGCCTGAGCGGGCCCTGCGCTGGGCCACGCAGCCGGCAGCGCGAGCCCCCCGCTGGGCCGTTGGCACAGGGCCGTGGGCGCATCTTGTGCCGGGGAGGCCCCTGCGGGGGGTGGCTGAGGGCCTGCCGTACGGCCCGGGGCGGGAGGGGCCGGGTGATTGGGAAGCGGGGGTTCGCGCGGCGGGCGGGAGTTGGCGGCGCGGGGCGCCCCCGGGCACTGGGGCGATGGGGCAGGGTCTGAATGGGGACCAGGACGGCATGTTTCTGCCCTATCTCAGCGGAGCGGGGGGCGGGATAGCGCTGGCGGAGGATGCGAAGGTGCGGGACGGAAGGCGGGGAGGAGGCGAGGGGATTGATTGGGCGGGTGGGGATTGTCGATTCCGACGCGGGGGGTGAGATCTGACGGGGGTATGTTTGCTGGCGGCTGTCCAGGGGTCCAGCGCCGGCGGGAGGCTGGACGGCGCGCCCACCGGGCGCAACCTCGCGGGCGCAGCGGCGGTGGGGATGTCGGACCCGCTGGTGCCGCTGCAGGCGGTGCCCCCCACCCTCGGCGACGCGTCCGACCTGCTGAGGCTGCACCAGCAGCACATCTCGACGGCGCGTAAGTTGGTGGCGAGCGCAGCCGCGACGGCCCCCCGGCGGCTCGCGGCGGATTCCGAACGTGTCGTCCGCACCGCGCTGCCCGGCGCCCCCGGAGGCGATGAAAGGAAGGCGCCAGGCGAACGTAGGGCCATTATCGGAGCGAACTGCTGGCGACGAATCACGTCGGCGGCCAATCACAGCGGCCGGCTCTTGACCGTTCCTCGGTTCCTCTAACAGCCTCCCTGTTGCAACGAATCTTCTCTCGCACATCAACCCCGCCCGCGCGCGCGCCCTCAAGCCGCGAGATTGGCCATTCGAGCGCGCCTCGATTGCCCGCGGCGCGACCGGATGGGCGCATTGCCCAGGATGCCTCGCTCATTACGCCATTGGCCATTCCAGGCGAGCCGGTCATCTGGGGCCTTCCCAACAGCGCGTCGACTCTGCTCCCGGCCTACGGCGACCTGTCGGCGCTGCCCTCCGCCACGGACCCTGTCATGGTGCAGCCGCTGCAGGACTGCGAGGCGCTGCTGAGGCAGGCCCACGACGCCTACCGCTCGGGCAACTACAATCAGGCCCTCAGCCTCTGCCAGCCGGTGAGTGTGGCCGCCTGGGTTCCCGGCTGCAAACGCGCGCCGATTTTTTCTGCCGACGCCCCGAAGTCTTGTACTGTCGGTGTCCAGCCCGGGGATGCGTTCCCTGGGTTGCTTTCCAACGGGCCCCAGCGGTTTGGCGCCCTTCTGACAGCGTCCCGTCATGTCCTTTCGATTCCGACGTCATCCTGGAATGCTTCCTCCGGGGACGCTCTGATATGATTTCGGCCGCCGCCGCGGTCGACGCGATGGGTTGAAACGGCGGGAGCCGGCGGGTGCGACGCTTGGATAGACGTGAGGCGGCCGGGTGTGTGTGCTGCGACGCAGGCCTACTGCGCCAACCCCGACAGGACCGATGTGCTGCTGCTCATTGGCGCGATTTACTACCAGATGAAGAATTATGAGCAGTGCATCGCCTTCAACGACAGGTGCATTGTGCTGGACAGGAGCATGGCGGAGGCCCATGCGAACCTGGCCAACGCGCTGCAGCAGATGGGGAACTATGACATGGCGATAATCTATTATCAGGTTCGTGGGCGACTGTTGTAAAGTAGGCCCTCGCATTGGCTGACTGTGGCGGACGTCCAGCAGTGTCAGTGCACCTTCAAGCAAGCCTCTGGCCTGGAACCATGGGTTCTCTTGGGTCCCAGAATACACTGACAGAACACATTGGGGTTCAGAACACACTGGGGTTCAGAACACACTGACATCGTGTGATGGCCCCTTTGCTGGGACGACAGTGACAGGAAACTGAAGTGGTTTGCTTACCAAGGCATGGCTGGCTGTGTTCATCGCTGCTGGGCTATTGGAATGAAATTGGAGGCCTGACTTCGACTGTTGTTGGTGCCCTGTGGACAGTCAGCCATCCGCTTGAAACCTGGCTTCACTGATGCATACAACAACATGGCCAGCGCACTCGTGCAGAAGGGGTGCATACCACAGGCAATGGAGTGCTACATGACCGCCTTGAGAATGGACCCTCTTCTGGTGAGTCTGCTTCACACACGACTCTTCTTTGTGAGCCCATCACCCATTGTAGTTGCAAGTGGCAGTGCTGTGTCTTGTCCAAGGCAGCAGTGTCATAGTGTGCTGTGAAGGAGCTGATTATTTGTGCTTCGGACCTGTTCAGACATCCTTGTTGTGTGCTTTCTCTTCTGCACGTATCGAATTCTGTAACACGGAAACACGGAATGGCACTTAGCAGAGAATAGCTCAGAAGCACGATGCCAATTGTGTGAAATGTTGTCCTCATCGATGAGTTGGTCTGGCAGCACACTTGTGGTTCTGAGGGGAGTGCAGGATGTGCCCTGCCATTGCTGACTGCATGAGGACTTGTGGCTGACATCTTGAGGACCCTCAACAAGCAGTTTGTTTGTTGGTAGGTGGATGTCCACAACAATCTTGGAGACCTCTGGCGAGCCCAAGGCCAGGTGGGCCGTCAGGCTGCACAAAGGTGCTATTCTGAAGCACTGAGGATCAACAGGCTATATGCCCCTGCCTGGAGGGGTCTTGGGGACCTGTTCAGGGAAGCAGGCAATTACCAGCAGGCTGTTGTGTGTTACCAGGTGTGTGAACAGTGCACTGTGCAATGCGATGTGCATTTCGCAGAGTGGCCCTTGTTGCATTTGCCAAGTTCCATGCCCGCTGGAAGCTTCAACATTGCCAAACCCAAAGGGTGTTTGCCATCAGTGTCCTGGATGGCCAAACTTTTTTTGCCATGTTCCACTCTGAAACAAGTACATGACAGTGATTGAGATCGAGGGAAGGACATATGCTGCACTGTGCATTGTGTGGCACGCTTGTGGTGTGAAGGGGGAAGAATGTGTTCCACTCGTTTTGTCAAAGATGGGTAAGTCATTGCCTGCAGTGCTGCGTGGCAGTGAAGGGCAGCCCTGTGCATGATTTTGGTGCCTTATTCGTGCTTTATTGGGTCTGTACAGGAAGCCGTAAATATCAAACCAAACTATGCAGATGCATACACAGGGATGGGGGTATCTCTCAAAGAGCTAAAGAGGAAAGAGGAGGCAGCTGCTTGCTTTGAGGCAGTTGTGAAATTTCGGCCAACATGTGCCCTGTCTTTGGGTAATCTGGCTGGTGAGTGGCAAAGTCGACTGCAGCAATACTGACAATGTCTTTATTGTGGTTTTCATATCTTGGGCTGTGCTTGGCACCTTGGATCTGCATTCTTTTAGAACGTTGCCATCATGGAATTAATGCTGGCGGGCAGGCAGATTGATTGATTTTGGTTCCTTGAATAGGTGTGTACAGGGATGACATGCAGGTGTGAGGTATTGGTGACGTTGGGCATCGAGTGCAAGGATCACAGCCATAGGGGCAGCTTGCTGTGGACCATGAGAGTGCTGGCGTGAGCTGCCTGCCAGAATGACATTGTGCAGCAGACCACCGTCCCGTTGAAACGTGTAATTGGCCATTTGTGTGGGTTGCAGGGATATATTATGACCAGGGTCAGCTCGATGTGGCAATCTCAACCTACCAGAAGGCCATCCAGCTAGAACCCAATTTCCCAGAGGCCTACAACAATTTGGGCAATGCTTTGAGGGAGAATGGGCAAGCTGAAGAGGCCATCCGATGCTACATGACCTGCATAAACCTGCAGTATCAGCGGCCCCACAACCCAGCGATGGCAGCTGCTTTTCGTGCGAATCCCCAGGCAGCACAGCAGCAACAGGCCCAGCGCTTGGCAGTGGCCTACAACAATCTGGGAGGCATCCTGAAGATACAGGGCAGAACACACGAGGCAATCTCATGTTACGAGCACATCGCGATGCTACAGCCGGAGTCCCCTGAAGCGCTTGCCAATTTGGCTTCTGCATACAAAGACGCTGCCCGACACGATGTGGCCATCCAGTCCTATCAGAGGGCCCTGTCCAAGCGTGCAGATTTCCCAGAGGCTTTTGCAAACCTTGTGCACAGCCTGCAGTGCATTTGCGAATGGCAGGGCAGGGATCAACTGTTTGTGAGGCTTGAGCGGGAGGTGAAGAGAGACCTTGCAAACAACCGGCTCCCCCCTGTGCAGCCCTTCCATGCGATGGCCTATCCATTCGATGCACAACTCTGCATCGACATCGGTCGCAAGTATGCAGAGCACTGCGCAGTGACTGCGGCGCGTTTGGGCTGCCCCTCGTTGCAGCACCCTCCACCTCGGCCCCTCCAGCCAGGAGAGAGGCTGAGGGTGGGCTATGTCAGCAGCGACTTTGGAAACCATCCGTTGTCGCACCTGATGGGGTCTGTGTTTGGGTTGCATGACCGTGGCAAGGTCGAAGTGTTCTGCTACGCCCTGTCACCATCGGATGGGTCAGAGTGGAGGCAAAAGATAGAGACGGAGGCGGAGAACTTCCTGGATGTTTCGTCCTGGAGCGTTGTGGACATTGCAATGAAGATATCCTCTGATGGTATCCAGATCGCGATCAACTTGAATGGGTACACAAAGGGCGCCAGGAATGAAATTTTTGCGCTGTTGCCAGCCCCAGTGCAGGCATCCTACATGGGCTTCCCTGCAACCACGGGTGCATCTTTCCTGCCATACCTCATCACAGACAAGGTCGTGGCCCCTCCGGAGCACCGGCACTGTTACTCTGAGGAGCTGGCGCTCATGCCTAACTGCTACTTTGTCAATGACTTCAAACAGTCATTTTTGGACACCCTGGACGAGTCGAAGATGCCTCGGCGGTCGGATTTCGGACTGCCCGAGGACAAGATTATATACTCAAGCTCCAACCAGCTGTACAAGTACGACCCAGAGACGTTCGACACCTGGTGCAGGATCTTGAAGCGTGTGCCCAACTCCGTGCTGTGGCTGTTGAGGTTCCCCCCTTATGGCGAGTCCAAAATCCGGCAACGAGCACAGCAGAGCGGCCTCGACCACACACGGATCATCTTCACAGACGTTGCGCAGAAGCACCTGCACATCAGGCGGTCGGGCCTTGCAGACGTGTTCTTGGATACGCCACTGTGCAATGCTCATACCACTGGCTGTGACGTGCTGTGGAGCGGCTGCCCGATCGTCACCCTGCCGCTGGAGAGGATGGCCTCTAGGGTGGCTGCAAGCCTGTGCATGGCCACTGGGGTCGGCGAAGAGATGGTTGTGAGCAGCCAGCAGGAGTATGAGGAGAGGGCAGTGGAGCTGGGAATCTGTCATAAGAAGCGGCTGGCACTGCGGGAGGAGTTGAACAGGCGCAGGATGACATGCCCGTTGTTCAACACGCACCAGTGGGTGCGAGACTTGGAGAAGGTGTTTTTGAAGATGTGGGACCTGCACTGCAGCGGAAAGGGCCCCACGACTTTCGAGATCGAGTGACCAGTGCGTGATCCCTGGACGGGTTGTCCGACATGGTGGGTTTTAATTGCTTGGAGCTGCGAACGGGTGGTTGCGATCTTTTGGCCTGGTGCAGCCTGGGTTTGATCGCGGGGGAGGATGGGGTCGCAGAGGTGCGCACACCACATACAATGACACGTGTTGTCAAGGAATAAAGTTTGAAGACTTCCCTCTCGCCCTTTTTCTTCGCTTTTCCTTTGTGCGTTGTTTGGGAATTTGGGCATCTCGCCGCCAGTTGCCCGGTCTTCGTTTGCCCTTGGCAGAATGAATGCAATGCTGGGGGATGGCTGACACCATATGCGCTGGGGGCGTATGGATTGGGTTGCGTACTGGTTGGCACAGCATCACGAGGACATTTGGTGATTCTATTACTCGAGAATGTGGGTCCTATGGATTGTTTTTTGTTGCTTAGGATGCATATTGTAGGCCAGGGCTTGGAACAGCTTCCCTTGTAGGTTGGGTGTAGTTACGTCACAAATGCGAATTTGTTGGGCTTGCTTTCGGAAGATTCGCAATAAATCAGAATGGTACACAAGAGACGAGACATTTGGCAGAGTTTGGGGAAGGGTTCAGGCACGCGGGCTTGTACAGTTCCTTTTTTTTCCTGTTGGGTCTCTCAGGCATTTTTGTAGCACACAGGCCGTTCTACCATCAGCAAGGCTGCTGTCTGTCTGGGGCCACGCATGGCCAAAGTTGCCCATTCGCACACTATCGCTTGGCGTTAAACTGTGCTAGTGCATTGCTGAAAATCGTGCAGGAGTGCTGTGCCATGCGTACTTCAGATGGGATCAATGGTGTAATCGCCAACATAGCTCTTGGGCCTTTGTTGCCAGTGATGGGAAGTGCACCGGCAGGTGCTGAGCCCATTGGGAGCGCCGCTGACGCTTTAGGGAAGTGTGAAGAGGTGCCAGCTGTGCGCCACATCTGCAGCTGCACCTGGCTTACGCGCCCGTCTGTGGAAACCACTCACGGACCACTCGCCTGAACGATAGGTAGGGGTACATCAGCCCTACGAATACTCTTCGGTGCCTCCCCAATGTGGTGGCTGGATGGACCCAGCGCGGGACAGCCAAAACTTGCTTACACGGACCCTTGGCCGCGTGTTTCTCGTTTTTCAAACCAAGCTCACTGTTATCTGCACCCACCTCGAGAATATGTGGTTGATGAAATTACCTATCTTGTTAATGGGTTTCTGCCAAGGGAGAGGACAGGTGGGCTGCGCCAGTGATTCAAACGGCGCAGTTTGGAACCTGGGGTTTACTCAGCCCCCGTCTCTGAGAACTGTCTGGCCACCTAGTACTGTGGGTCAGTCAAAGTACGAAAATATGAGGTGCCGCCAACCTTGGCGCCCTCGGGTTTGGCGGGCTTTGGTGGGACTGAGCGGGGGCGGCTTATTTAGGCTGCCCCTTCGGTCCCGTCCTTATCTTGTTTCACTTCGCGCCAATTCGCTGGCACAACTCAAAGGCACCAAGTGGCTTGCCCTTCCGGCCGTTTTCTTGGCCGAGTCCTTTCTATGAACCGCACTCTGGCCGAGCAGTGGTTGCATGATCAGGCGGTGCGGTTTAATGACGGTCTGCCTACAGCTCCTCTAGATGCTGTCTGGCTGCCCGAACCCTGGCTGTTACCTCAGTCGGTCACCAACCCCGTGGTCCGACCGCCGTGGTCCGACCGCCGGGGGTACAGTTTCCCAAGTGGTTCGATATTCGACAGACCTCCGAAGGCGGGCAGCTCGCCTAGGCGCTCGGGCCAAACTCCGGCTACTTTCAAGAGTACCAAAACTGGGCGCCTTATGTTATGTGGTAGCTCGACCTGACCTCTGCCTTGATCGACTTCGTGGCACACCCCGATTTCCTGACCCAATTTAAACCCAAATAAATTCTGGGACGCCCTCCTGCCATACGGCCATGTCCTCGTGACGATTATGACGACATTGCAGAGCCTTATCTGGCTGCAGCAAGCCCATGGGAAGCAGAAGAGCACGTTCCTTGACAAGTTGTGGAAGGCCCTCCAGGCCAACGTCCGTTTGGGCGCAGAGCATCGTCAATTTTGAGATCTGCTCATTTCTGCCATACCGGTCTCCTTTCACTCGTTCCCCACACGACAATACATTACACTCACATAGTTTGGTGTCCATCACCTCACTACTACAAGACCCAATTGGCGACCCACTTGAACGTGCCCATTCACACTGGGGCATGGTGCAGCTCCTCGGGAGCAAAGGCGTGGTCATGCCTTGGTCACACTCGGGCCGATGACGCCCCTCCGGGGCAGAAGAGATGCCCGTAATATGCGTGTAGGTCATGCGTAGTAATCGCCATCCAACCAAAAAGTCTGTAGTCCCACTCTGATGGGAGCCGGTGCATGTCAATGTACTTCCACATGACGTTACTTTGCCACTCGCCCCACACACGTATGCACCTCCAAGGAGTAGCAGGCACTGGCACCGCCCACACGAAGGCCGTGGTGATTGAAGGCTTCCGATGGGGGTGAAGGGAGGGTGCGTAGGAGGGCGGGAAACCAGCTGGAGACGGTTGGCGCGGATGCATCAGCCTCACCTAGCAAGGTATAGAAATGGCTTGGAGAGGCACCGGCATCCGCCCACACTTTGTCGCGGGCCGCAGACAATCGAAGGAAAAGATCCACCACTGCCGGTGCGCTGCAGGATGGCCAGGAGCGGCAGCGCACACGCGGGTCAGTGTGAACGCTGAGCTTGGTCCGCCGCTCGCGAAAGATAAGGAGTCCATTCTCGAGGCACAGGTCTGCGAGCAGAATCAGATGGCCGCTCTGTGCCCGATTGAAGAAAATGAGATCCAACATCGCAGAGCAAGCCGTGCGGAGGACGCGCAGATCCCCCATAGCCAAGCCAAAGTCCAGGATGGCCCGCATCACGTCCATAGGAACCGGGTGGTGGGAATGGGCCAATTCTGGCTCGTCCCGCCTCCACGCCCCAGTGAGCCGCCGGGTGATGGGATTGATCGCCGAAAAGTCGATGTAGCCCATGGACTGGTGCACCATGGAGATCGCGGCCAGATATGACATTAACTATCTTGTTAATAGATTTCCACCCACTACGATGTTGGGTGGGTTGCGCCGAGTTTGGAATCGGGCGCAATTGTATTCAAACGGGTTTCTGGCCCTTCCTAGTACCTTGGGTCAGTCAAAGTACGGAGTGTCCAAGGGCCCGCCCGTTTTGGCGCCTTGGACTTGGCGGGCTTTGGCGGGGCTGAGCGGGGGCGGCTATTTAGGCTCCCCCTCGGTCCCCCTCCTATCTTGTTTCGCTTCGTGCCACTTGTTGGCACAACCCGAAGGCACCGAGTGCCTTGCCCTCCCCGGCCGTCTTGGCCGAGTTCTTTCTATGAACTGGACACCTGCAGAGCAATGGCTACAAGACCAAGCCGTCCGATTCAACGACGGTCTGCCTACGGCTTCGCTCGACGCCGTCTGACTCCCGGACCCCCGGCTCCTTCCGCGGTCAGTCACCAACCCAATGGTCCGACCTCCGGGTGTCCGCTTTCCGGAGTGGTTCGACGTGAGGCGGACTTCCGAATGCGCGCAACTCGCGCAGGCGCTTGGGACCAACTCCGGCTACTTCCAGGAGTACCAGAACTGGGCGCCCTACGTCGCGTGGCTCTTCAACCTCACGGCCTCCTTCATCGACTTCGCGGCGCACCAGGACTTCCCGCCCATCTTTCGGGACGCCCTCTTGCCATACCTCCACGCCCTCGTGACGATTACGACAAGATTGTAGAGTCTAATCCGACTTCAACAAGTGCACGGGGAGCACAAGGGGACATCCTTCGATGGGTTGTGGCGCGCGCTCCAGACCAACGTTCGGCTGGGCGCAGTTCATCGGCGCTTCTGGGGTCCTTTGATCGACGAGCCGCTGGAGCACATTTGCAAGGAGGTCCTCAATCAGCAGTTGAAGTTGGCGACCAAGCCAACTGCCGCCAAGAACCAGGCCAACCTCGATCGCGCCGCTCCGGCCGCTGGTCCTTCGGGCGCGTCCACCTCCGGCGCTTGCCACTTCAAGGGCAAGAGTTCCAAGGCGCCAGCGGGCCCCAACGCTCCGTCCCAGGCCCCCAAACCCGCCGCCTAGAGGACCCTCCGTACGCTCGTCTTCGGGGCCGCCTCACTGCGTGGCGCCACATCGGGGCGCCTTCGCGCGTCTTGCAATGGATCCACACCGGGGCCCCTCTTCAATGGGGCCCGATGGGCCCTCCGGCCCCCTTCGATCAGGGCGAGTATCCCTTGACGACTCCGGAGGAATGGCGAGCGTGGCGGGAGCTGCGGGACGAGTACCTCGTGACGGGGGCGATCGTCTAGACCAACCCCTCTTCCGACGCCCGGATTTCGCGCGCTTTCTTGGTGGCCAAGCCGGTGGAGAATGGACAGACCAAATACCGATTGGTCATTGATCTTCGGCGAATCAATCGCCATCTCAAGAAAGTTGGTCTTCGTTATGAGAAACTGCGTGATTTTGGATTTCTGTTGAAGAAGCACGATTTCTTGGTGGGTTTCGACATCAAAAATGCTTATCATCATATTCGGATGAGGGCGGATCAGGAACATTTTCTTCAATTTTGCATGGGTGGGGAGATCTTTGCTTGCCGGGCGCTCCCCTTTGGCTTGGCACTCTCCCCCTTTTATTTTATGCAGCTCATGTTGGTAGTGGTCCGTTTCTTAAGGACCCCCAGCTCTTGTCCGAAAGCTGCGAATCGGTTTCATTTTGGTCGCTTAGCAAGGGAAGATTCCATTCTCTAGTACTACCTCCAGTACTCGCGGGAACTTCCCGCACTAATTTTGGCCTGTTTGGATGATTTCATTGCCGCCATGTTGGATCCTCATTGTAGTGTCTGGACACCCTATTGTACATTGACGGGTAAATAGATGACTTAGATGAGTTAGATGTTTTCATCTGAGTCTAGAAATGTGTTAATCATGATCGCCACGTTCATCTTGTTAAATGGGCCAATTTTCGGTAT